GGTGTTAAATCGATCCCATCTTTGAGCAGCTCTACTGCCTCCTGCAAAATTGCAAAGTGCACACATGCTTCACTTTTCATGAATATAGAATATCTCTAGAGAAATCAAATTGAAAGTATAAGAAAAGCAGTCAACGCCTTTTCATTTAAGGAGAGTTTCAACTAATATAGAAATCATCAGAAAGTAAAGAGCCTCCTCTGGAGGCATATGCATCCACTCTTTGTAACAGAACTATCTCACTACAGCAGATCTATTCTAAAAGATCGTAAACCACAAACAATTCTGTTTGTAAGAGAAGTATCATCTACAGCAATGCAGAAGAATCAATCTTGAAAACAAAAAATAATCTGCAAAATGAAAATGTGGAATAAATGAGTCTTACTTCAACAAATGAGCCCTCTGAATCAGTAAGGAGGCCAGTATTTTTCCACTGCTCGCCAATAAGCTTTGTCAACTCCTCAGATGGAAGTGCTCTTAAGTGTTGACCATTCATCCACCTTTAGTTTGTAAGCATATGTTAGAGGAAAATATCAATAAAAAATGTCAGTTCTTCAACAACGCAATTAATTCAAGAATTCAATAAGCAGCCTAAATTCTCTCAGACACAATCCACATTAAAATCATAAAATCATAAAAATAAAAATCTAGATGTGGGATACAATGCAAAACAACCATGCAACTGCAAAATGTTCATTCAATCTGCTTCTCCAGGGAGGGGAATGCTACATAGAAGCAATAATTGGCAACCATTCTTGGTATATGGCAGATTAAAAGCCAAAATTACCTTAATTTGGTCGAGTCGAAAATGGCACCACTTTTGTTGACGCGACCAATTGTAAATTTCTCAACTATGAATTGCATGATAATATTCAAGTAAGAAATTAGTCAAACAAAACACAAGGATATTTAAACATCATGCAGAAGGTAAGCAGGAGATTTCTGAGGAGAGGATGATAGAGAGCAAGAGAGTGACAAAGTGACAATTAAAGAAAAGGGTACACTAACCTAGCTTCTCAAGGGTGAAGAATTCATTCTCAGTGCCATCACCCCAACCTAACAGTGCCAAGTAGTTCACCATTGCCTGGGGTAGATAGCCCATCTCCCTGTACTGTTGTGTTCTAGTTATTAGATGTCAAGACTATTTATCAATCAATATTGACAAAGAAACTCTTAAATAAAGGAAATCAGAACAGAGAAAGGTGGGGCTCGACCTCTAGGAAACCATGGATGAAACATCCTGTAGTCCAACATATTTATCAAGTAACAATAAGCATATTTATAGATAACCACCTGGCCTACAGAAGTCGCACCATGCCTCTTTGACAGCTTACTCCGATCAGGGGCAAGAATTAAGGAAACATGTGCAAAGTCTGGCATTTGGAATCCTAGAGCCTGTGTTACAATGGTATTCATAAAACAATATCAGCTTCACTGTAAATGTTGAAAAATATTTGAAACCCTGCCGGTAATAAAAATTAGGGCATGAGTTTAAAAAATTACCTTATATATTAATGCTTGCCTTAGAGTATTTGGTAAATGCTCCTCTGCTCTGAATGCAAGTTTTAAGAGATCACACGATATTAATAAACAGACGTACGAAAAATCATCAAACAAAAATCCAAAAAGCAATAGTAGTGAACGAAGAAACTACGCAGGTTGGCAAAAAGCTCATCCTAACCATGTTAAATAGGCTGTTCATATTACCTAATAACATGTGAGATGGCCATAGTAGCATCATCAACTGTGACGCAAAAATTGTACACTGGTTGACCATTGCTTCTCATAATTACAAAATCTCCAAGAGTGTTCAGGTTCCAACTGACCTTCATGACAACATATAAAGTTAACACTCTATACACGTACTTGAATAAAAGTATGATAGTGGCTGAAGCTAATTAAAATTTCTTAGAAGTTCCCTCCTTTGATAGTGAACAGCACACTTTACCATACTAGGAGTTCCTAAGCGCCCCCAACCCAACAACAACAACAAAAAGATGAACTAACCTCGCCTCGAATAAGGTCATTGATTTTTAAACTCCCTTCCTTTGGCACACGAAAACGATATGTGTATGGAGTTCCTCTTTCCAGCTCTTCTTGTACTTCTTGGTCTGTTGCATTGGCCCACTTCCCTGTGTATACCGGTGGCAGTTGTTTTAGTTTTGCAATCTCCTTCATTTTCTCTAGTTCCTGAATAGAACAATATTAAGAATGCTTACTTAAAATAGCTTTGTGGTTTAGTAGGGATTCAGAATCAGAAAAGAAAAGGATTCATAATGCTAAAAAGGCCCCACAAAATATATGAAGCAAGTTCTTTTGTTGAACAATAATCTCGCACTCGTTTAGCCAAAAACAAGACATACAGAATAAATTAAAGGAAAAGAGAAAAAGAGGCAAGGAAAAGTAATAAATCCAATCATGATTAATACTCTGAAGTTCCATTTGAAAATCTCTTACAAGCATAGTTTTGGTTCTAGGCAGTTTCTGATCATATAAATTGGCAAGTGAAGACATGTTTCAAGACTCAACTACAGAAGGGAATCACCTCACTAGAGCAAAAGCAGCGATAGACATGACCAGATTCTACAAGCTTCTCAGCATACTGTTTGTACAACAAATTTCTTTCTGATTGTCGGTATGGACCATACTCTCCATCCACACCAGGTCCTGCAAAGTTAAACGAAAAATGAAATGACCCAGTTGGACACTTTACAAGATAAACCCAGTTGAGAAAAGTACTAATCCTACAATCTTAAAGCTCAAACTATAAGGCATTATAATTCAAGTAATATCCAAATGCATTCACATATACAGAGGAGCACAAAACCGGGTTCGACCAAAATTAGGAATTTAAGAACTGGAGAGGAATCAAACAAGAAAAAGTTAACAATACCTTCATCCCAATTGAGGCCAAGCCAAGAGAGATCATGTAAGACAGCCTCCTCAGATTCCTTAGTAGACCTCTCCAAATCAGTGTCTTCAATTCTCAAAACAAACTTCCCTCCATTGGACCTGACCCAACACAACACAACACAGACACTCATAACCCATCAATGCTCAACCAAATAAGCAAAAACCCGAAACCTTTCAGGCTCGAAACCGGAAAACAAACGGAAAACAAAAAGAGGAAGGAACCTGGCAAACAGATAATTGAAGAGCGCAGTTCGAGCTCCACCGACATGGAGGTTCCCGGTGGGAGAAGGAGCGAAGCGTACGCGTACTGGGTGTTGGGTCGACTTAGCAGAGACCGAAAAACTCCTCCTCCTCCCATGGAAGACTGAGAATTTGTTGTGGGATTGAGGGAAGAATGGCGGGAAAAAATCTGTTGGGAAAGCTCTAATCTTCATCCGGATCTTGGGCATGGCAACCACAGTTGCCATTTTTAATCGGCAATTTTGAGGATGAAGATGAAGATGCTTTTGCTCAGCAAGCTATCTTGATTCTTGACTCTTGACAACAGAGTCGATGTGGGGAATGGAAAGCAGTTTTTACCGGATTTTAAATCCCAGCCCTTAAAATAAGCACAACCGTTTTGATGGTGCCACGTATGTAAATTTTACCCCGGAGTTTAAACTCTGACTAGAGGATTTAAGGCTGATTTGGTATTGCTGCGCTTTAAAAAAAACTTTTGTGAGAATAAGCGGCTGTGCTGTGAAAATAAGCGGCTGTGAAATAAATCAACAGAGTGTTTGGTAAACTTTTTTGTAAAAGTGCTTTTGGAATAAAAAAGCAGTCTGATAGTGAGTCTTTTCATTAAAAGAGCACTGTAGCTCTGTGTGCTTTGAAAAAAAACCAGTTTTCCAAAGCTGCAAATGGTAGCTTCGGCTTTTTCCTTTGATTTCAGCTTATTCTCACAGCAGCTTCCAAAATACGTCCTTTTTTTTTCAGTTTACTAAACACCTAAAACTCTCACAGCTTTTTTTCATGGGTGCTTTTTTTTTAAGCACCTCACTCCCCAAACCACCCCTTATTAGCATTTGAAATCTTGGGCGATACCAATTTATTGGCTCATAAGTATTTCTATCAAAATATTTGAAATTTTTTACGAGAATCGAATTAAAGATGTTCCACATACAAGTGAACAAGAGTAGTACTAGACCATATAGTTTGGACTGTTGGGGCGTTTGTTTGCCCTCACTAAGTGGGACTGGACTGGACTGGACTAGCTGTTAGTCCAATATTGTGTTTGTTTCATGCTGGGACTAACATTAATGAGACTAAAGGGGACTAGCATGGACAAAACCCTTCACTAAGAGGTCTTAGCGAGACCCCCCAATAACCATGGGACTAGCTAAGACTATCCTCTCTCGTCCTCGTCATGCTCAACAACCACTCCCGATAGACTCCTCGTCATCTCCGGTCACCGAGATTATAATAAAATATTAATAATTTATATATTAAATAATATAATATTAGAATTTGTTATTATCCGCTTCTTAGTCCAACACTGCACCAAACGCTTCACTAAGTTAGTCCAGCTTAGTCTAGTCTAAGCCAGTCCAGCTTAGTCCTTGAAGCTAGTCCAGTCCGAGATAGTCCAGCGCAACAAACGCCCGAGGTTAAAAAAACTTGAAGAGTATATTAGATATTGAAAAAAGAATTAAATGAATCATCATACTAAAATCTAACGTGAAAGCCTAATTACTGGACTAAATCTATTAATCAAAAGGAAATGAACAAAATCCATTAATCAAAGGGAAATGAACAAAACCCATTAATCCATTAATCAAATTGGATTCATATCAAATTTTGTTCTAAATAAAAATGCTAAAGTAAGTTTTTTTAGTAGCTTTGGAAATGTTTTTAAAATAACTAAAAAAATTATTTATAAAAGCCATTTCACTAAAAATGCTTTTATCATTTGAAAATCATTTCTAAACAAACTACAAATAACAAAAAAATAATTTTTACAGCTACATATAATTAGTAAAGATTTCATTAATTTTTTACTAAAAAAATTGTTTGTTTTTTTTCCTTTTGGTAACTCAACCAATCCATGCTCATTTTTCTGGTTGGCGGAAAGAAACGAAGTGAACATTGCGAAACTCAGAATCCCAACTCAGGGCTAACCTAGACAGACTTGTTCATTTCTGACGAGATTTTTCCGGTGGAGATGCATTCATCCACAACCAACACTCCGCCTTTTCCTCTCTAAAGGTATTTTCTTTCCTTTTTCTCTCCACCACCTTCATTTTTTCCCCATATGAAATACAATGCCTTCCTCGGTCTTCATTCAACTCTGGAATTTGAGTTTTCTTCTTCTCTTGTTTGTGTCTGGCTTCGCATATTTTGTTCATCATTGTCCAGATTGCGCATACTTGTTTTGTTACAATATTGATCGTTGAGGAAAACCCCGCTTTGACACTTTTGAGTTTGAAGGCGGGATTTTGAGCGAAAAGATTTGGTTTTTGCTCAGAAATTACGAGTTTGATGGATGCATTCATGAGTGAAATCCTGTCTCCGACGCGACCCAGATGGCGAAAAGTGGCGTATGGAGGGATGCAACCTGGGTTTGATGACAATCACACGGATGACTCTTTTCTTGAAGATATGGTTATGAATGCCAATGTTGTTAAGAGGGACATTCTTAAAGTCATGCTGGATTCCGTTTCGATATCTCAGTACCTCTGCATTGTTGCTCTTGTTGGTTTGGTTTGGACATACACTCTCAGATCGATTCTTAATGAGAATTCGCTCTTGCTTCTCGATGTCACGCTTCTTGGATTGGGGTTTCTTGTTCTCCTTTTAACTAAAGAAATGCTTTCCTTTAGTCTCTTCTTTCGTTACTTGCTCAATATCTCCTTTTTCATCAGTGGCTTATATGTTTTAGCTCCCATCTATCAAACGCTCACCACTTCCATCAGCTCAAACTCCATTTGGGCAGTAACAGTGTCACTCATTGTGCTCCATCTCTTCCTCCATGACTATTCGGGGTCCACCGTAAGAGCTCCCGGGGCTCTACACAATCCAACCTTGACGAGTTGCATCTCTTTGAATGCTTCAGTTGTGGCCTCGGTATTCATTGCTTCGTGCCTTCGGTCAAGGCTGCTTGTTTTCGCTATCATGCTTTTCTCTTTGCAAGTTTTCCTTTTCGCTCCCTTGGTTACTTACTGTATCAAGAAGTATTCCTTCTGTCTGCACCTTTGGTTTTCTTTTGGTCTGATGATTGCGACCTTGACTCTTGTTTATACCTTGCATCTGTTACTTTTTGTGATGTTGTTAGGGTTGTTGATTTTTGTAACTGTGGTTTGTCCGTATTGGCTTATACGGATGCAAGAATACAAGTTTGAGATCAATGGTCCTTGGGATGAGGCTAAACTTTGTTTTGATATAACTGATTGAGACTTTTGTGCTGTGTTTCTGATAGCTTTTGAAGATCAATAAAGGAAGCAATTGACTCATTATTTTCAGCCATTTTAATTTGCATAGCAACATGCATTCTACCATTTGTCGCCGATAGACTTGGGAGTATTCAAATATCTTTACTTTCAAGGAGATTAAAGTTGGGATACATGTATACATGATATTTTTAATAAATACTGTTGAATTGTGGCCAAGTGTACAACAAAACAAAACAACTTTCGGCTAATAAACAAACCAAAATAAAAAAAGGTGAAAGACATCATGATGAGGAGGCATCATGATTATGTTTGTTGAAAAGAAAAATCGATGGTCATGATGATGTTTTTGAGTTTTTTATTGGGTGCTTTTGTATTGATGAAGTGAGGATACGGAAGTGAGAATGATAGAGGAAGTGTGCACCATTTTTCTGTTTTAGTAGCCCATCTTTGAGAGATCAAAGAGAGCTGCAGAGAGCAGAAAACTGAGAGCAGAAAAGAAGAAGAAGATGCTCTTTTTTTTGGTTAGCAATCATCCATCATAATTATTGTTGTAATAGCTTTGAGCTACATGTACAGAGAAGAAATTATTCATTATATTTCTTTCTCTATTTGTTTATGTGGTGTGTGAGAGCTATTGGGTGTATTGGGTTATTTGGGTTGTGAGATTGCCAACACTTTGTGAACTCCCATTTGGTTGATAGTGGATTATTGGGTGAGCTCCTACTGCTCCGAGGACGTACTCCAGTTACACTGACTGTTGAGGAACCTCGTTAAAATCTTGGTGTTCTTTAATATTTTGTTCTTGCATTTCATTTGATAAATTTCTTGTGGGTTAGCTTGAGTTGGTTCCAACAGGTTTGGTGCTATCCTAGCATAACAATTGGTATCAGAGCACTGGTTGCTCTTGGGTACTGTCTAGTTGCCAAAGATGTCAGATGGGCAAGATGAAAATCCTTTTGGAAGCAGCTCCGGGTTTGCAAGAACTACGGTGCAAAATGCAAAGTTCGAAGTGGAAAAGTTTGATGGCACAAACAACTTTGGGATGTGGCAATGTGAGGTCAAAGATGTGTTGGCTCAACAAGATCTACTTGCCGCTTTGGGAGAGAAGCCGGAAGTTATGTCGAAGCCAGAATGGGAGAAATTAAATTTGTGGGCTTGCTCTTCAATTCGGTTGTGCCTTGCAAAAACTCAGAAGTATTTTGTGATGCGGGAGATGGTAGCAAGTGTGTTGTGGCAAAAATTGGAAGACAAGTATATGACGAAGAGTGCAGAGAACCGGTTACACTTGAAGAAAAAGCTCTACCGCTTTCAATACAAAGAAGGTACAAAAATGATTAGACACCTTGATGTTTTTAATAAGTTGATTGCCGACTTGTTAAATTTAGATGAGGATATTAAGGATGAAGATAAGGCCTTAATATTGTTGAATTCCTTGCCGGACTCTTATGAGCATTTTGTTACCACTATTATGCATGGTAAAGAAACTGTGAAATTTAAAGATTTGTCAAATGCCTTGATGAATTATGAAATGAGGCATAGAGATAAAAATTATGATAGTACCTCTGAAGCTTTATTTGTTAGAGGTAGATCATCGGAGAGGAAGTCATCTTCTAGTAGGAAAAAATCACAGTCTTGACCTAGAGGAAACTCTAAAGGTAGAAAACCTTTGGAAAGGGATGAATGTGCCTTTTGTCGTAATAAGGGCCATTGGAAGAAAGATTGTCCTAAATTGAAGACCAAAGGCAAAGAAAGTTCTGAAGCTAATGTTGCTGAGGTTGAAACAGATTTTTCTGATTTTGCTTTAACCACTTCCTCATCATTTGATTGTGCTACTAAGTGGGTGTTGGATACGGGTTTGTACTCATCATATGACTCCTCACAAGGATTGGTTTTTTTTCAAGCTTGAAAGAGTTTGATGGTGGCGTTGTGTTCATGGGAGATGACAATCATTGCACAACAAAAGGGATTGGTACAGTTTGTTTAAAGTTGCATGATGGCATGGTTAAAGAGTTGACAGGTGTTCAGTATGTACCAAATTTGAAGAAAAAAATCTTATTTCTTTGGGTACTTTGGAATCCAAGGGTTTCAGGTTTCATTCAGAGATGGGCAGACATTAAAAGTTACTTATGGTGCACTTGTTGTGATGAAAGCTCCTAGATGTGGCCATTTGTATTTATTGCAGGGAAGCACTGTGACAGGTGAAGCATATGTAGTTTCTGAAAATATGGGCACATCTGATTCAGATACTACTAGACTATGGCATATGAGATTAGGCCATGCCGGTGAGAAAGCTCTATAAGGGCTTGTGAAAAAGGTCTTCTAAAAGGTGCCACGACTTGTAAGCTTTGATTTTCTGCGAGCATTGTGTCTTGGGGAAGCAAACTAGAGTGAAGTTTGGTACTGCTGTACATCAAACGAAGGGCATTCTTGATTATGTGCATTCGGATGTTTGGGGTCCTACAAAGACTCCCTCTTTGAGTGGTAGACATTGGTTCGTGACCTTTATTGATGAATTATTCTTCAAAAGGTCTTGGGTCTACACTATGAAGCACAAGAGTGAGGTGTTAAGCATTTTCTTGGGATGGAAGAAAATGGTTGAGAACCAGACTGGGAGAAAGATTAAGATTTTGAGATCGGATAATGGTAGTGAATACACATCCGACCATTTCTTTAAAGTTTGCAAAGAGGAAGGAATTGTGAGGCATTTTAGTGTTCGGGGAACTCCACAACAAAAAAAATGGAGTTGCAGAAAGATTGAATCAAACCTTGCTTGAGAAGGTTAGATGTATGTTGTCTCAATCGGGTTTAAGCAAGTCATTTTGGGCAGAGGCAGTTAATTATGCATGTCACATCATCAACCGGTTACCCTCAGCTGCTGTTCAGGGTAAGACACCAATGGAGGTATGGACTGGAAAACCTTCTTCTGATTATGACTATATCCGTATTTTTGGTTCACCTGCTTATTTTCATGTGACTGAAAAATAAACTTGATCCTAGAGCCAAAAAGGCTATCTTTCTTGGTTTTAGTAGTGGTGTCAAAGGTTACAGGTTGTGGTGTCCAGAGATGAAAAAACTTGTAATCAGCAGAGATGTGACATTTGATGAAGAAAGTATGTTCAAAGACTCTGAGAAGAATGTGAAAGATGTCCAACAGGTGGAGCTTGAGAAAGTTGCCTCTGGTACTTCAAATCCTATTTCCGCTGATGTCGAAGCCACTACAAGTGAAGAAGTTGGAGACCATGAGGATGTTGAAGAAGTTGAACTTGAAGATTCTATTCAAGTTGAAGAGGAAGTTTCACCTCAAGAGTCTATTGCCAAGAATAGAGGAAAGAGACAAATTACCAAGCCAGCTCGGTATAGTGACTATGTTTCTTTTGCTCTTCCTATTATCACTGATGAGATTCCATCTAATTTCGAGGAAGCCATTAAGAGTGAGGAGAAGAAGAGGTGGTGCAATGCCATGGGTGATGAGATGAATTCTCTCTTGAAGAACAAGACTTGGGAGTTAGCTAAATTGCCTAAAGGCAAGAAAGCTAGCGGTTGCAAATGGGTGTATGCTAAGAAGGAAGATGCTGATGAGAAAAGCAATGTGAGATTCAAAGCAAGATTAGTTGCTAAAGGGTATGCACAAAAGGAGGGCATTGACTACAATGAAATCTTTTCTCCGGTTGTGAAGCACTCCTCAATTCGCATTATGTTAGCTCTTGTTGCACAGTATGATCTTGAGCTTGTGCAACTTGATGTGAAGACGGCTTTCCTACATGGTGATTTGAATGAAGAGATTTATATGTGTCAACCGGATGGGTATATAGTGAAAGGGAAGGAGAACTTGTTTTGCAAATTGAAGAAATCACTATATGGCTTGAAGCAATCTCCAAGGCAATGGTATTTGAGGTTTGATAAATTTATGAGAGGCCAAAATTATTCTAGAAGTCAATATGATCATTGTGTGTACTTCAAGAAGTTGCAAGATGGATCTTTCATTTATTTGTTGATATATGTTGATGATATGTTGATTGCCTCAAAGAATGTAGAAGAGATTGAGAAATTGAAGAAGCAAATGAAAAATGAGTTTGAGATGAAGGATCTTGGTGAAGCGAAGAAGATCCTTGGCATGGAGATCACTAGAGATAGAAAGAAGGGTTTAGTCAGTTGAATCAAAGACAATACCTTGAGAAGTTGATTCGAAAGTTTGGAGTTCATGATTCAACCAAACCGGTTAGTACCCCTTTGGCTCCTCATTTTAAATTGAGTTCTCTACAGTGTCCTAAAACTGATAAAGAAAAGCTGCAAATGAAAAATATACCATATGCAAATTTGGTTGGTAGTTTGATGTATGCAATGGTATGCTCTAGACCGGATATTGCTCATGCAGTTGGCATGGTGAGTCGATATATGCATAATCCAGGTAAAGAGCATTGGCAAGCAGCTAAGTGGATTTTGAGGTATCTCCATGGTACTCAAGATGTTGGTTTATGCTTTGAGAGAGATGACTCTGGTATTGGTCATTTTGCAGTTGGTTATGTTGATTCAGATTATGCAGGTGATCTGGATGGAAGGAAGTCTACTACAGGCTATGTGTTTACTATGGCTAAAGGACCAGTTTGTTGGAGGTCCATTTTGCAGTCGTCTGTTGCCTTGTCTACTACAGAGGCTGAATATATGGCAGTTGCTGAAGCTATAAAGGAGGCCATTTGGATACATGGGCTGATTAGAGATTTGGGGGTTGATCAGAAGCAGGTGGAGGTACATTGTGATAGTCAGAGTGCCATTTATTTGGCTAAGTATCAGGTTCATCATGCGAGGACCAAGCACATAGATGTGCGTTATCACTTTGTTCGTGAAATTGTTGGTGAAGGGGAAATCATTCTCCAGAAGATTCCAACTAAAGACAACCCCGCTGATATGTTGACTAAGGTTGTTGGTGTAGCCAAGTTTGTTCATTGCTTGAATTTGGCTCACATTTTGCCTATATAAAGAAGGCGTTGAGCAGTAGGAGTTTTGGAGCATTTGGCTCGGCATGAGTTGTTCTCTTGCTAGTGTTTGGGAGTGATGTTGTGTGTTAATTGTGTTGGTTGGCTTATCATGGCGTTTTTCGGAACTTG